AGGCCCAAGCCCAAATACAAGCAGGTCCACAAAAGTGCAGTGTTACCAGTGGCTTTCACCAAAAGCTGCAGAGTGAGTAAGTGATGGCAAGGCCTCTCCTTCAGGCCTTTGAACTCCAGGTCCTCTGGTAGCCTCCTCTGGGCTTCTTGATTGGCTTTTTAGAATGAGACTGCTGTCATCCCTGTAGGAGGCAACTGCTGTGGGAGGAGTCAGAAATCCTGAGGGAAGAACTGAAGTTGCTTCGGGACCAGCTGAGTGAGTAAAAGATGGGAGGGAGGTTCACTTGTCCTGCTTTCTGGAAAGCCTTCTTATTCTCCCAGCAAGTGGCCATAGCTCTAAATGCTTGAGCTACTCCGAAGTCTGGCCAAGTATTTGTCTTGCCTCCAGAGGTGTGATCCTACTCTCCCCAGTCAGCTTGGAAACTTCCTATCAGCTGGACCAGAATGCTTCTATCTCAGTTTTCATCACCAGACTGGGAACAAGGCAGGGAGGAAGAAGGAAAGAAGTTGGGGTATTCCCTTACTTCTTAAAAAAAAAAAAAAAATTCCCTTCTTCTTAAAAACAAATCTTTATTGATTTCAGAGAGGGAGGGAGAGGGAGAGAGGGAGGGAGGGAGGGAGAGAGAGAGAAATATCACTGATGAGAAAGAATTATTGATTGGCTGCCTTCTGCACGCCCAACACTGGGGATTGAGTCCGCAAGTTGGACATTAGAGAACAGCCTTCTTACATGTTCTCTCACCTGCAGCCCAGCATCAGGAGCTGATGCTGAAACAGATGGCTGAGGGGCGGCAAGTTCAGGCCCGCAGCTGGAAGGTAGGACCAGGATTGGACCTATCCCTTCATAACTCCCTGTTGTGGCCCCTCCCTTTCTCTGTCTGTCCTGTTCTGCAGGCAGGCCAGGATACTCTTTCCCTTCCCTATCTCTTCTTCTTCCCTGTGATGACTTCACTTCCCTTCAAAGCTCTTCTTCCTAAGCCCTCTCCTACAGTTATGGGGAGGGGGGTTTCTCCTGGAGAGGGAGAGGTTTGGTTCTACCTGGGACCATATTCTGGCAGATGTTGGAGCAGCTGCAGAGTGGCCAGGAGGGCAAGGAGGCTGCCAGGACAGAGGCCGAGGATGCCCGGCGGGAGCATGACCTCCTCAGGTCAGGGGGTGTGGGTACCTCTGTCAGTAGAAGGGATTTGTCTTTTGGAGGCCAGGAATTGGGGACCAAAGTTTAGCTATCCTATATTTGACACTAGAGGCCCAGTGCATGAAAATTTGTGCACTTGGGGGTGGTCACTCAGCCCGGCCTGCACCCTCTTGCAGTCTGGGAGCCCATGGGATGTCTGACAGTTTAAGTCCGCTCCCTGTGGGGAGTGGGCCTAAGCCGGAGTCTGGCCTCCCTCTGCGGGAGACAACCGATAGGCCCATCGGAAATGGCACAGGCCAGTAAGGGGCTGGTCTACCCCCTATTACTGCCACTGTGGCATCCCTCTGCAGGAGGTGACCAGTGGGCTGATCTAGGGCTGGCAAATGGCCAAACCCCTCCCCCCCATCACCCCACTGCTGTCAGTCACCGCCACCCCTGATTGCCATCCACTAGCTCTGCCCACTGGCACCTGCCTTGGCTGGCCTGGCGCTGCCTGCTTGCTGGCCCCACCCCCCAATGACGGATGGTTCTGCCGTTTGGTCGATTTGCATATTAGGCTTTTATTATAAAGGATGGGCCGATAGGGGCAGCACGAGTATCTAGGTTACAGCCCAAAAGGGCAGTAGTGGGTATTCTTTATTTGATATGGAGTCAGTGAGGTGTCTGTATTTGGAAGATAAAGTGTGAGTTCTGGCCTCAGGAAGGAGGACAGTTCCATGCTGGAAGGGCCCCTTTGACCCACCATCACCATTTCTTTCCCTTTCCAGGACCTCTGTTCACGTCCTTGAGTCGAAGCTACCCCTGGCTGCCACCTTTGCCATGTCTCTTTCTTCATCTAGCTCTGAAGTCAGTCATCAGGACAGTAACAGTAGCTGGGAGCTTTTTAAGAAGCGAGGTGAGAATAAGGGCAGGGATCCCAGTTGTGGGTAAGGCTGAATCTAAATGATGCTTGAATGCCACCTGCCTAATTGTCTGGCACTAGGTAATATGCAGTCTCTGCCTTCTTCTTTGTAAATCCATTGACCTCTGTTACTACTTCTCCCTAGTCAGACCTATATGTACTTCCCCAACAGACAAGCCTACTTCTGTGTGTCACAGTGCTTGCTGATGGTTTGTTCTGTCTTTCCTTTCTCTCTTCTTAGATCCCCAGAAGAGCACCCTTTCTAACCTGGAACCCAGCAACTTTCAGCTCCAGGTCCAGAGCCTTGAGCAGGAGGACCTATCCTTTACTGGCTCCAAGATACTCCTGAGTGACCTGTAGGGATTTGTAAGAGTAGTAGGATAAAGTCTTTGCTCACCTTCCCCTCAAGGCCCGGTTTCTGGGCTCCCTACCCTCTTGATCTAGCTGGTATCTGCCTTCCGTCCTGAGTCTTGTCACTGCTTGCCCACCTTCCCAACAACTGCAGTAAAATGGCTTAACCCTCTCTGATGTGTTTTCTGTGAATCAGCACCCACATGGGTTAGACTCAGCTGTACCTTTTCTTCCTCCTGTAGCATGACTACTACCTACCATCTCTCGGAAATCCAAGTTCATAGACATTTATATCTGCACCTTCTGAATTCAAACCCTGTGTTCAGTAGAACTTGGAAGGAGGTGGGAGCTCTCATTTTGGTGGGAGAGGTAGGACAGTGCTCTGGGGCAGTACTGCTGTGGGGAGGCGGTGGACGACGAGACATTCTAGTGGGCCCGGGAGTGTAATAGGCGGCTTTCTCTCCTTGTCTTCGCTTCTGCTCTTGAGCCTTACTCCAGCCCTTCCACACCTCTTCATCCTTAAGCAGTCCAGGCTACACTTCTGTAGCAGTCTATTTCCTGATCTCCTTTCAATCTCTTTGCCTCTAATCCATTGGGTTTACAATTTTTTTTACTGTGACCTCCGGTAAGAAATAGGTTACATTATAGCTTAGTAAATATAAATATATATTTATTAACTGAAACAAATCTAATGATTCAGTACTTACTAGGAGTGATGCCCTCTGATATTTCCCATTGAACATTTTTTTGTGGCTTTTGGTTCTGATCCTTCCACCATTGGTTGCTCTCTGGAAAATATATTTTCCTAGGTAGATGACGGGTACATTACTTTCTCCTTACTTGGGCTTTGTATTTTAGACAATGCAGTTGAGGATTTCCTTAGTAGCAATAGCATCTCACTGAGGTCTCATGAGATCTCTTCCACTGCTAACTATAGCGAAACGATAATACCATCCATCCATCCACCAAATGGATGTTTATTACATACCAGTTCTAGTATGTATTTACTCTGAGCTAAGATATTGTAGTGGGCTCATGTAAAAGTCCTATTGCTTAGTTCAGTCCAGCTGGGAAGAGGAAGCAGTTATCTGAAATAAAAGCATCATAAAAGACTGATGGCAGGAACTACTTCCTTATTATGGGGTGAAATAAGTAGCAGACAGGTCATGAAGAGTGGCCTTTGATACCTAAGTAAGGCAATCCTTGGTTTTTACCCCACAGCATTAGAGAGATTGCTGAGAGTGGAATGGTAGAGATCAGGTCAAACAGAACCTATTTAAAAAAACAAACCAAAAAACTTTCCTACTGAACCAGGTATAAGGAACTCCTGATTGATAAATCTTTTACTAGTCAGGTGATACATCTGGCATGGTGGCATTATTCATTTAGTTCTATTTACTACCAAGTGCTCTACTGACTCATCAGCTACTCTACATTGGGCTCTGTGGAAGATAGGTTTGCAAGGGTGCCAAAGCTCTTCACAGCAGAAACATTTAATAGCTATATGGATCAGTGGTATTTGAACTGTCACCAGGTGGCAGCATATGACCTGTTTCCAAAAGAATACGTAACAGAAGAGGTTTCCGGCCTAGGGGACTAGGCTACAGTGTTCTTTTCTCCAGAGATCCTGTGAGCTAACAATCTTCCTAAAAGTGTCCTGTTAAGGCTTCTCTCCTGCTCGGGAATCTTCCCCCCTCATTCCCCGCCCTAGGATTGAGCCCACAACATAGGCATGTGGTCTGGCTGGGAACAAACTGTGATCTCCTGGATCATAGGTCCATACTCAACCACTGAGCCATGCCAGCGGGTTCAATAAAAAAAAAAAAAAAAAATGTTTTAAGTGCCCAAGGTCCAGCCATGTGGAAAGCATGAAGAAATGTGTGCCTAATGAATAGCTGAATAGAATTATAGTCTCTACGCAGCTCTTTCAAAGTCTTTGGTTTTCAAGCCAACTCAAGTGTTACCTCCTCTAAGTAGCCTTTTCCAGAATTAACTTTTAACCTAGTGAATTGCTCCTTCAGCTTTTTGTTTAACCCTATCCACTGCTGTTACTAACTGAAGTCGTTAACACAGTTAATTGTTTATGTAACAGTTTCCTCCCCTGCCGCAAACCGCCCCCCCCCCCCCACGCATGCTGAGATGCAGGAGGCTGTGTTCACAAGACTTTTCCTTAAACAGATAGTCTTACTCAACTATACGTTCAACTACCCAAAAGCTGCGCCAGTCGAATACATTTTCTTAGGGTTTGTTAATTATCACTCATTTATGTGTTTGGAATCTCGATTGGTCCACTTTGTGTTTACCGTCCCGCCTGGTGCGAGGCTCTGGGCCTGGGGTTCCCCCCAGGTGCCTTCCCTCCGCCCCGCTCCTCCTCTCCGGCACACTGCCTCTCCTGTTTTCACCTCCGCCTCCTTCTTATTGGTTCCCTCCTCGCCTAAGGCTGTTGATTGGCTCTTCTCGACGCCCATTGTGCCCACCCTAATACCACGTGGCATCCCTGACGCTCATTGGTCAGTTTCACCACCTCGTTGATTAAGGGTTGGCTGATGATTGGCTGCTCTTGAGGGAGGGCTTGAGGAGAAGGGCGTGGCCCGACGAAGCCACGCCCCCAACTCCCGGACCGGCCGGGCAGGCGTTTCAGTCGCCGGTGGCTGGGGAACCCTGCGGGTATTCCATCTGCCCTCTCCGGCTCCCCGGACGGATCACCCTGGTCCCGCCACACAGGTGGGGGGAGCAGCCCTGACTGTGGGGCCATGGCAGTAGACTCCTCATCCGCCGCCGCTGCCAGCCCCGCGGGATCGTCAGCTTCTATGCGAGGGACCCCCACCACCTCTGCAGGCTGAGAGCCGCTGCTGCCTCCGAGCTGCGAGGGCTACTATGCTCCCTCTTGGCCACCGCTTCCCCGTCCCACTCGCGCAGGCACCCCTCTGGCTGCTCAGTCCCGCCTCAGGTAACGCCAGCCGAGCACGTGAGGCTCGAATCCGGGGCACCCGGGCCCGCGCCCGCGCCCGCTGCGTCGCCTCGGCTCCGGAGCATAGGCGCTCGGGTTGCCTGACGCCGACAGGACCTCTTCGTTTCCCAGAGATGTGCCTCTCAGCTCTCGGGGACACCCCTCGTCTCCTTCCCCTTCCCTTTTCACTTCCCTGAAGGTCCCGGGACAACCCCCGCCCCGGCCCCCTCACTCTCACCCTCTCGGCTCAGAGGCCTGGGACCCATTAGAAGTTCCTTCTTATCACGAATTGGTCCTTGACTCCTCTCAGGGACTTTCCTCAACTTCAGAGACTCAAGAAATTTAATTTCTTCAGAGAACTGTTTCTGAGACCTCCAGCTCCACATTGAGAGCCTCTTCCTCTCAGTTACTCCCTCCTCCCTCAGGGATCGGGTCTCCCTCACTTTGCTTCGCTCACACACAGACTTCCCTCGCAAACAGCCGCTTCTACCCCCGAAAGATTCTTCCCCTCAGACACCACTGCCTCTCCTCCCGTCACCCCTCTTCTCCCTGCCTCCTCTGCCTTTACCCTTCCCTGAGACTCTGGACTAAGCCAGTATTGTTTTACAACCTTTTAATTTATGCCTCTAAGAAAACCTTGCTGAAGAATTTGGACTTTATTTTGTGGGCATGGGAGCCATTGCAGGCTTTGTAAGTAGGAATTTGGTATGATTGATTATCTGATGAAAATGTGGAGGAAGAACTGAAAGTGAAGATAGTGTAGATGCAGAAAAGCTTAGATCGGCAGGAAAACTAGCGTGCTAACTGGAGTAATGGCAGGAAAACGAAGAGAATGGCCTGCAATTCTATGAAGTTTCAAAACAGTTGACAGAATTCGCGGAAGGTTTCTGACTTGACTGATGGGGTTGGTTGCTAGTGTTAATTGAAGTGGGGGACATAAACAGTCTTGAGGGAAGGTAATGAATTTGGTTTTGGACAAGTTCCGTTGGAGGTGTTTTTCAGATATTACTGTGGGTAGCTGAAAATTTTGGTCTGAAAATTGGGAAAAAGGTTAGAATGGAATACATACATTTGAAGGATCAGCAGAGACTATACGGGTGATATTTGAAGCCTTAGTATGGACGGTAATACTGAAATAAGAGAAGGGCTGCGGACCACAAGGAACGTTGTTGTTGGAAGGGTAATAGACACTGAGAAAGAGGGTTTAAAGGAATGGGACAGGAACTGAAATAGAATGGCATTATAATAGAAGCCAAAGGAAGAAAGAGTTTCAAGAGGGAGGGGGCAGCCATCAGTGTCTGGTACTCCAGAGGTCAAGTAGAATGAGATTAGGAAGAAACCATTGAATTTTGCAATTAGGAAACCACTTGTTCCCTTTGAAAGATACTTTAGATGCCATGATGATGGCAATAATAGCAGTAGTCAGATCATAGTGGGTTGAGAAGTACATGGGAGGCAGTGAGTAAAATTCCTCTTTCAACAAGTGTGCTTGTGAAGGAGAGTCCATGGCAGTGAAACTTTATTTTGAATGTATTATATTCTAGGCACCATAAAGATACTTTGTAGATCACACAGCCTTGTGACCTAGGAATTAGTATCCCTCTTATAGTTGGGAAGAATATAGGCAAGAATTTGAACAAGGTCTGTCTAGCTTTGAAACCTATGTTTTTTTCCACTATGGCACGTGTGTATTTTTCTTTTTATTACGGGTGGAACAGTTTTGTGAGTTGAGGGGAAATTTACCTAGGAAATATGTTGGGCATTTCTTTGACACCAAAAGGATAGAAGTCAAGGTGGATAATAATGTGAAGATAATGATAGATGGGAAAGAAAGTGAGGGGATTTGACAGATGGCCTTATTTTCTTGGTGTGATTAATTATCCGTGAAGTCAGTTTTCTCTGGAGATGGAACAAACTATGGTGTGTTTATGATTTGGGTATTACAATTATGGCCATGGGAATATTTTGTGGAAAACGAAAGAGGAATGGATTAAGGAGTTAAAAAACAAAGATTGCTAACCACATTGAGGGCCCAGTTAAAATTAATTAGAAATAATATATTTGTAATAGGGCTGGGATTATAAGAGGTAAAACCTTCAGAGGGGCTGGCAACCTTAGAGAATAAGGACACAAACAGAAATGTGTTGAAGATGAGGTTTTCTATGAAATACAGAATGGGAAAGCTGAGTTCAGTATTTCAAGGTAAAAACAAAAACAAAAAAATGGTGTAACTGTCTTAGTGCTGTTGAAGGGGAATGGAAGTATAATTTATTGAAGTAGTGGGAGGTTAAGGTGTTAAGTCTGTTGAACATGTCATCAGTATGAATGTCAATAGTAACCCAATATGATAGCAGCAAATGGAACCGAGGAAATACTGGGTACTCTAGGTGGGGCTGCTCAGTGTTGAGGCACTCAGAATTGCATTGGAGTTCCTTGGCACTTGTTAGAAAGTAGTTCTAGGTGGTACAGATGTTTGTATGTGAATTAATGTTGAGATCCTCAGATACTTGGTGCCCTGGATGCATGATATATTATTCTTATACAGATGATCTCAAACACAAATCCTTTGAAAGTTGGCATATGATGGGCCAGTTTAATTCTATTTAAAAGTACGTGTTTGGAAGGCGAGGCTAGGGACTCACCACACAAGGATCTCCAATAACATTTTGTACTTAGGTTAATTTTAAACAGAAAATTATGTATGCACTCATTCATTGTCTCACTTAGAGTAGAAAGCTGACTTGCTTTAATGCTTCCCCCCCCCCATATGAAAGTGTTTATAGATATGTTTTCAGTGTCATACACTTTATTGTTTGCCAGATAAATGTTGTGTTGGAATTTGAAACCTATGATAAGGGCTTTTATGAGAATTTTGTCTCTTGTCAATGAATACAGCCCAATCATCATATTGTAGAGTGTGGGTGATAGTGAATGTTTTGGACCAACAAGAGTATTTACTCTTTTCCAAGTCATTACATACTAGTGTTATTTTTTGCTGAGCATTCAGCGGGAGTAGTTGTTTCATAAAAAAGCCTTCTTGTGATAATTTTTAAGTCTTCCATTCCTGAAAATTTCAGAAAGGAAAAGCATTGGAAATCCTAACTATAATCAACCCTTGTTAGTTATATAGTTGTAGGCAAATTTCTTATCCTCTGTGAGCTTTAGTTGTGTTTTTTTTTAATTTTTATTTTTTTAATATATATTTTTATTGATTTTTTACTGAGAGGAAGAGAGAGGGATAGAGAGTTAGAAACATCGATGAGAGAGAATCATCAATCAGCTGCCTCTTGCACACCCCCTACTGGGGATGTGCCCGCAACCAAGGTACATGCCCTTGCCCGGAATCGAACCCGGGACCTTTCAGTCCGCAGGCCAAGGCTCTATCCATCGCTCTATCCACTAAGCCAAACTGGTCTTGGCTAGTTGTTGTTTTTTAAAAATTTAATCTTTGATAAGGTAACACATTCAATTGTTTAAGTAAATATTTACATATTTATGTTTTATGTAAACAGTGAAAGTGTCACTCCTTGCTTATTCCCCACCTACCTAGTTCCATGCCCATTCCCAATCACTTTTACTAGTTTCTTTATATTCTTTTAGACTTACTTTAGGCCAATGGTTGTTGTTTTCATATTTTTACCAATTTTCATGCAAAAGGTAACCCACGGTTCTCCACTGTTCTGTACCTTCTCTCTCCCTAACCCCCAATCTGCTTTTTTCACTCAATATATCTTAGAAACCTTTCAGATCAGTATTTAGAGAGCTTCTGCTTTATTTATTTATTTTTTAAAATAGATTTTATTGATTTTTTATAAAGAGGAAGAGAGAGGGACAGAGAGTCAGAAACATCAATGAGAGAGAGTCATCGATCAGCTACCTCTTGCACACCCCCTACTGGGGATGGGCCCGCAACCAAGGTACATGCCCTTGACCGGAATCGAATCCAGGACCCTTCAGTCCACAGGCCGGCCAACACTCTATCCACTGAACCAAACTGGTTTTGGCGAGAGCTTCTGCTTTAAATAAACAAAAAAAACACCTGCATAGTATTACGTTGAGTGAATGTATCATAATTTAACTATTTCTTTATTCTTTTACATTTGTGTTGCTTCCAGCCTTTTGATATGCTAAGCAACTTTATAATGAAGACCCTTGAACAAATGTCATTTTTCATGTGTGTAAAGGTATTTGTGGGATACATTTGCAAAAAGTGTGACTTCTAAGTCAAAGGATATATATACTAATTATGAAAAATATTGCCAAGTTGCTTTCCTAGTTATTATTCTAATATACATTGCCTGTTCACTCAACATTACCTATATCACGGCTAATACTTATATGATACTTACTATGGGCTATATATTATTCTAAGTGCTTGATATATGTAACCTCATTTAATCTTAGTAACATCCTTTTGAGATAAGTACTATTATTATCTCCACTTTTTAGATGAATAATTGAGGAATATAGAGAATTTAAGTGACTTTCCCAAATCTAAGTCAAAGGATATATAAATATTAATTATGAAAATGTGGCAGAAATTCAAATTGAGCAATCTGGCTCCAGGATCAGTGTTTTTTTTTTTTTTTTTTTAATCAATCTTTATTGTTCATATTGTTACAAAGTTTCCTCATTTCTTCCCCCCTCCACCAGGTTCCCACCCCACCCTCTGCCCCCTCCCCATCCCCCATTGTCCTCATCCATAGGTGCAGTTTATGTTCAGTCTCTTCCTCCCTCCCTTTCCCCGATACTAAATCCCTTTTCAGATAGTAAATCAGTTACTTAGCATTTTCTCATATCAATAATACCACCACATGCCCAATGATACATTTCACACAAAAGACATTTCCAAATAGGTCAACCAGCCTCATCCAGGCCCCACCCAAGGCACTCACAGATCAACACCCCAGCCCTATACATCCAGATCTAAGCCTTCATCACTTGATTCAGCAGACCCTCAAGTTCCCACAAAAGTTTCCAACCATGTCTGAGAGGCAGCC